ACAAATTTTTCATTTAAAAATAGCACATGAACATAACCAATACAAACAGAAATATGTCCTTCAATTAAAATGTAAAATTTTTAAGGCACTTTAAAAGTGCAAACTAAAAATCAGCAATAATGATTAGAGATTTAATTGGTTTTTATGCTTCCCTACCCAAACTGATTTATAATATAAAACCTATAAATATCTTACTTTTTTTTTAAAGGAAATTAAAAGTTTCAGAATCCAAGTTGCATGGTTACTAAGTCTTCAAAGGCAAAAAATATAGAAAGCTAAAATCTACAAATAAAATAACAAATACTTGTAAAGTTTTCAAAAAAATTCATACATATATTAAATGAAGTAAGGGTTTTAGCAAAAATATAAAAAGAACAAATAAAGAAAAGTTTCTCAAAATGAAAATTTAAAACAAAAAATTGCGGAAAATTTAGCAGTTAAAAAAAACCTCCATTAAAAAAGAAAAGGCAAAAGTAAAAAATAAGTTTAAGTAATAAAAAAAGTAGAAGATGTTTTTTTAGTGTGACCCTAACACTGTTCAACATTTACAAAAAATAAATAAAATAAAAATTAAACAAAAAACTTTTACAAGATAATTCAGGAAAATCTCAAAACTATTTACTGTGGATTGATCCTTTTTATAATAAATAACTTACTAAGTTTTTAATAAATAAATAACTTACACAGTTTGAAAGCACTAATAAGAAATGCTATATGAATAACAAGGTATCAAAATTACATCAATCATAACTTGAAGAAAAGATTTTTTTAAGTTAGATGCACTGACATTAAATATATAACCATGTTGAACTTAAAACCACATTCCTGTCTAGTGCGGACAAAGAATATATAAGTGAGAAGACCAGCTCTCATACGCCTGCATGTAAACCTGTTCCAGAGGCACCGGTCAACTCCATCACAACCTGTCTCCTCATCCCTTAAGCAACCCCATTCCCCTCAGCTCCCGACAAACACCTCTCTCCCCTCCCATGTAAGCATCGAATGTAAAGTGACTCAAAACATGTCTGCTTTTGCTCTTTACAGACCTTGTGGTTCTGAAAAAGGTTTACTTATTAAACAAGGAAATTATTTACTGGTGACGAATTCATTAAAAAATAAATAAAATTTATTATTTTAACATCGGTGTATAATTAAAATAGATATCGGGGCAGTCACTTCAAAAATGGTGAAAAATTTGTTGTTAAACAAGTTTAGAGACGCTACGATGGCTGAACGATGTGCGCATGAGTCAGCTCAAAAGCCTTTGGTGCTTTTCTTGTCATACAGAAGGACCTAGCTGTCCCCAGCTACATATCGAAGAAGCTAGACTTCTTCTCACATTATATATTCTTTGGCGTGGATCTGTTTAAACTGTAATTGATAGCTTTAAATAACTATTATATGATTTTTAAGTTTTTTAATTCAATAGGAGAAACTCAGAAAAAAACAGAATAATTTTTTCACATAATTAATGGATCATTAAAATATTCATCAAGAAAAGAAACAATATATAAATTAAAAAACTTTTATGTCAGACAAATGTTAAGAATTATGAAATGAAAAGCTATTTTTAAACTTTAATTTATGATAACAATTTCCAGCTATGGTCTCAGCAAACCTAACCTATAATTTTTCTTTTTAGTACAATGTGCAATATTCCCCCATTTTGAAACAGTTTGCAACAATATTGTTTGTAATCTTTTTAAACGAGGATATAACAAGCAAATACAGATTTTATTAATATAAATAGAAAATTTTATAACAAATTTAATTAGTATAAGAGCATTTAAATTTATGAAATTTATATTAGGAAGAAAAAAAAACTTTAAAAATGTGCTATCATGATAATAAGAATCAGCTTGACAAATGTAACCCGTCTTATAATTTCTTTTCCAACCCATTTGTAAATAAAAAGACATAATTCACTTTTTTGTCTTCATTAAAGATATAATAAAAATGTACCTATATTTGAAATCTAATAAAATTTTATTACAGTTTGGCACCCAACTCGTAATTATCTTCACAATTTTAAAAACTAAAAAATTCACTGCCAAAATTCGCATAAATTATATGCAATATTTTTAAGCCTCAGGTAATAATACTGAACTTGGGACATGCATACTGCCGTTGATATATTGAAAATGCACAAGTGGAATTCCAGATTACCATAAACTGAATAAAATCACTTCTTGTTCGGATTTTTTTTTTTTCTTAAATATGTCAATAAAATTAAATAATTGGACTGTTTCTATAAAAACAAACCTAAAACTTTAATTTTTTAATTTATCAGTGATTTTTCTAAAAAAAGAGAGTTCGAAAATTATTAAGCAGTCAACTATGAGTAACAAAGAATAATCTGAATGGTCATAGATACCCCAATCCCTACATTTTAACTTAATTCTGAAAAATGCAATTTTTTTCACTAATTCTATTTTTAAGAAAAAATGCATAATAAAAATATATCACAGAGTAATGCAAAAGCTGTTTCAACTATAACTTATAATAATATTATTCTAGATATTTTCCTATTGTATTTGTATGTCATTGTTTATTCTTATGTTTAATCTTTAGAGCAACTAACTTTTTCTTCCATTTTTTTAAAAATAATATGTCAAAATAATTTCATTTACTTACAACTAAAAGGCTTATGTAGCTTCTACTATAGCTTTTTTTTTCTTTTATGATGTTTTGAAATAACTTTGGCTCAATAGATAATTTTTATGTAAAGAAAAAATTGGTTTGTATGAGAAAATATGCAGATTTTATCTCAATATTTCAACTTTTGATAGCTTGTTAAACAATCTATTAAGTTATGAATATTTCATGCATGTTTAAAAACATTCAAAAGCTTCTTTTAATAAATAAAAAAAAATAAAAACATTATTCATCAATTTTTTTTTAAAAAATAATAAATAATTAATAAAAAATTTCTAAATAATAAATTAAGAAATAAAATAAAAATTAATTAATAAATTGTTGGAAATTTTTAGTTTGAAGAGGGGGGAAAATTGTGAATGGCTGATTTACATATGTAGCAGATACAGTTTCACAGATTCTGTTCATTTATTATTTTGATAAAATATTATTTTAGAAATGTTACATCTTTAAAATGCAACTAAATAATTTTTTTTTAAATAAATTCGTAGACAAATTAAAAATAATTTGTTTAAGATTAGTAAAAAAAAACAATTTAATAAGGTATACATTTTTTTATTATTCTTTGTTTTATCTTAAAAACATTTTAAACAACTATGCTTTTTTTTATAATAAAAATAAACTCTTATTAATTATCTATAAAAATAATAGTAACATTCCAGTTCATATAAAAGTAAATAAATCTCCATTTTGTTTTAAAAAGTACAAATTTTTTAAAAACTTCAATTAAGATATCAATACAAAACATACAATACAAACTTTATATGACTAGAAGGCACTAATGATTGTTCCAAATTCCACATTTTGACTACAAATGCAATTGTTTTATGAAACAGTGAAAATTAAGCTACGCTTTTACACAAATAACTCAAAAGAAACACAAAATTTGATAATTATAGAAGAAAACACATCTCGAAACCGCATCAACTTTTGTTAAATACAAATAATTGATCAAACAAAGCTGTAATTAATACAAATAATTAAATGACAAATAATTAAATGAAATTTGCCGAAAAAAATTTAAAATGTGAGTCATTAGCACAAACTAAAGTATGATTAATACACAAATGAGAAATTTCGATCAACAATAGTTTTTCCTGATTCACATGAAATAAAATATATTTTAACCAAGTTATTTTCAATTAGTATCTTTTAATTCAAGAATGTAAAAGTTTTCAGTTTTGATTTCTTTTAATCAACAATTTCAAATCTGAGAGGGAAAAAAAATTTATTTCATATAAATTGATAAAAACACAATGCTATACTAACTCAAAATAAGTATAAGTTTAATAATGCTAAAATTGAGAATGTAGAATTATGAAATTGCAAATAAAAATATGTGACTACGGGTGAAATTAGAACAAAAAATTTTAATTTTTCACATGTTTATAAAAAACACTATGTTGTTCTAGCTTAAAAGATATAAATTTTAAAATAATAAAATTATAAATTTATAAAATTATACTTTATAACCTCAAAAATTTTAGAAATTACTTATCACACAAACTCAAAACAATTCGTAAGTTTATCAATGTTAAAAGGTATTTAAAAATAGATGATTTCAGTTAAAAAAAACTAAGAATTCATAGTAAAAATTTGGAGTTAGCTAAAAAAAATTCTTTCAAATATGGATTTGAAAAATTCTGTAACTGTTACAAATACAAATTAATTAAGGAAATTAAAACTCCTGAGTTATGCTAAATATTTTTGCATTAAAATATGAAAGTTTTAAGACACACTTTTATTTATACAAATTTGAACAAATTTAAAGAACGATAAATTTTGTTTATGAAATAAATGTGCCTAAAGAAAATTAGCATTTGGATTTGTGGAACAATAATAAAGGAAATAAACAGTTGGTTTAACATTACATTAATATACGTAATTGTTAATCACATATTCATTAGTACATAATAATAAAAAATTATAATTCTGAACGAACAGGGAATCAAAATTAGTTTTTCTTTAATGAAGTTTGAACAATCAATTCATTTATTATTTGAACAATACACTTAGAGATGATTACATTGATACAATGATCATTAAGCTTTAAATAGGTATTACAAATACATGAAAAATTGTTTTAAAAAAGAAAGCTTTAACAAGTTATATATATATTTAGTTTTTTTTTTTATTCTATTTTACAAGTCAAAAAAATAGTGACTAGCAGAGTTCATATTAATCTTAATTCCATTGATCAACTTCAAAATTTAATACAATTTAAATAAGTGTGCAAGAATAATAAAAGTTAATTTTACATATGAATTAGTTTTATATTTCTGAAACAATATTTGCCACTTAAGTTGTAATTGCTCAACTAATTTAATAATTTTCTCTCTGTTCAATTAATAATACACCAATAATTGTATTTTAAAAGCATTTTATTCTTCAGAAACAAAATCAAGATTTCATAGTGTGAAGAATATTCATACATCTATTCCTTTAAAAAAAAAAAAAAAGTAAGTAAGACAGCCATTTTAAAGTTTAGTTACTGATCATGCCTACTCAATACTGTAGAAAAAAATACAATTATCTGTAACAACCAAAACCCCTAATATCTTAGAGCATCTTGAATCATTAACAGTATTTCAGTGCATCCATTTAACCAAAGTAACACAGTTGGAAAAAAGCATAAGTTCACTAGCTAGTAACCATAATACATATATTTGTAATCATTAAAAAGTATTTGTACATTCAAAAAAGTATTTGTACATTCAAAAAAGAAATGCTTAAATACAAAAAAACAAAACATTCACTAAAATAATACTATAAATGTTATAAAAAACAATTAACTACCATATTCTGACTAGTAAACAATAGATAAATTATGGCTTTATAAATATTAACTTAATGTAAAGTGAGCAATTGGTATTTTTACAAATGTATATATTTATGGCAATCATAACTTTAAAATCAGTCACACATGCTTTAATGATGAAGTGCTACCCAACAGAATTATTTTGCTTTCCTGAAAAGACAAGGGAAAGTATAACTAAATGTATTCAAATTGTTAACAAAAACAAAATTGTTATTAAGCTGCTTTAACATTTTAAATACATTTGAATATTATCAGATACAAAACTGAACTAGAATAAAAATGATGTAATATTATGGGCTAACATAAGCTCACATGATTAATCTAAAGTTGACAGCATGTCTTACACATATGTGACTAACTATAAATCAGCTGATTATTTTTTAACCAGGTCATTTGATGACACTTCCACAGAGACTTTAAAGAGCAAGGTACATTTGTAATAAAAGTAAACTAGTGCAATTTCAACAAATTAAAAAGATTTTTGGACCTAAATTTTGAATTTTATCTTTTAATTTTTCAAAACTTAGTGAAGGGTTAATTTTGAATATTTCAACAACAACAATCTAAACTGAGAGCAGGCATGCGATTGCTGGAAGAAGAAATAATCTGAAATTTTTTTTTGCTCAATTTGTATCTTTTTAAGCACTTAACAAAGTTTTATTTTTGTATGTCGAATATAAATAAAAGACTCAATTTTATGCACAAAAGTAACGTTAATAAAATATAAAAAGAGAAAAAAATTATTTTTATTAAATAAATTATTTTTTTATCAACACATAATATAAATATATATATATAGCAAAATTTACATATTCCTCCTTTTTTGCAAGTTGTCATCGCATCAAAACAATAAAAAAAAGATTCTAAAAATTATGAAATTTACGGCAATAACTGAAAAAAGTTCGATTAATGAAAAATAACTCAGTAAAATAAAAGTTTGAGAAAAAAACTAGAAAAAATACCATTTTTTTCCAGCGTATGATCTTTTAAATGTCTGCCATTTGGGAATTACATTTCTGATTATCAATTTTGTACTTTTGTGTTCGCCTCAGTAGTTCAATAATTCTAGCGGAAGTTATTTTTTTTAGTCTCGCGTCATCGAAGTTGCGTTTTTCTATCTACGTAAAAAAAAGAAGCAATCCCGAATGGACTAGAACTTAGAAATAAGTAGGATGATCCTGAGAGCGAAATAAATGTCTCGTTAACAAAATTTTATGTAAGTAGCAAAATTCAAATTTTACATTATCAGAACTTCAAGAAAATTGTGGTTGAATATAAATTATTGACTTGCAGAAGTCCACAACAGTCTTATAATTCGCGGAATTCCATGAATTAGAGGAAAAATCACATGCCTGCTGGAAAATATAGAAAACAAGCAGGAAAAGCTAAAAGATCAGAGAGTTAAATATATGCTGCATATATACAGCTACAGATCACTCTCAGAATGAAGGAGAAAGTATATTGATGCACCATAGCTGAAATGTGACCTTGAAAAGTTTAAAATTAGAAGAAAATTTCAACATTTAAAAGGAATTTCAAGTGCATTGTCAGATTTTACCCTGGAAGAATTACATGTATAATCTTAATATATTAAAAAGCATGTATCATTAGCTAATCTAACTTAACAAAATTAAGATTTTATTTTTTGCTAATGAAATAAAGAGTATTAAAGATTCATTTTTAAGAGCAGTATATTCTCATTTGAAATTATAATTCTATGTTTATCACTGAAATGAAAAAAAATTGTGCAATATGTTGGCTAATAAGCCATAATAGCATATCAAATACACAGGAAATTAAAAGCAGGACAAATCAAATGCATACAAATAATTAAATGCATATTGGCTTTTGAATAATTTTCTTTCAATGTATAACTTATTAAACAAATTAACAGGTGCCATCACATCTATTGAACAGTATGTAGACAGAAGTGAAAAAAGTAAATTTGAATAAAATTATCTTAATGAAATCAATATATGTAATTATTATTTATGTTAATTATGCTCATTTATTTATTAATATAATTCTTTCTCATAATTTTTAATTCATAATTTTTTTCCTGAGAAATAGCTCAGCAGCATTTTTGAAAGCAGTACTTCCATAATAATGATTTACTGCAATTCAATTGTAATCAAGTTAATATAATATATATGATAAGCAAAGCCTTGTTGCATCAAAACTGAACTACAAGAAAGAAAAAATATTTGAAAACTTTGCATCAAATTTGACATGATCAAATAATATAAAAATTCGATGAAAGTAGAAAAAACTGTAAAGTTTAAAAGAAGAAAAAAACGAAAATTAAAACAGGTAAAGATAATTAAAACAAGTAGGTGAAAATAAAGCAGTACTTCCAAAATAATGATTTACTTTGATTCAATCAAGTTAATATAATATATATGATAAGCAAATCCTTGTTGCATCAAATCTGAACTACAAGAAAGAGAAAATATTTAAAAACTTCGCATCAAATTTGACATGATCAAATAATATAAAAATTCGATGAAAGTAGAAAAAACTGTAAAGTTTAAAAGAAGAAAAAAAACGAAAATTAAAAAAAATACTACGAAATTTTCTTTTTAAATACAGTAGGGAACCGATTATCCGGAACGATCGGGACCATCGCTATTTCGGATAACTGATTTTCCCGGTTTTCTGAATCGCTACAAAAAGCCGTTTTTTTTATTGTTAAACCCAACTAAAAAAAAGTATTTAGAAATAATCTAAAAAAGAAGAAAAAACGAGGAAGTAATAGACTAATGATTGTTTATAAAATGATGGTAAGGTAAACATCTTTCAAAAAAGAAAGAAAAATCCTAAAATCTTCTGAGGAAAAAAAAACTTTTTTTTTAAAAAAATGGCGGGAACATTTATCGAATTTCATTCCGGTTTTCTGATTTCCGGATAACGGGTTCTGCACTGAATTTTAAAATTATAATTTCAGACAGATTTTTTTTTTATCTTTTGTTCAAAATTATCTCATTAGAAAATTATTTAAATTTTTTACTTTTCTTTCTTTAAAAAATTATATCTTTTTTTTTTTTTTTTAAACTTCAGGCTAATTTTCTGCGGTACAAAATATAACTGTGATATTTGATTCAACAGTTTTCAAGTACTAAGAAAACAAACTCGTGCATAATTTTTTCAGTCACTCTATCTATGATTGCTAACTCACAATAAAATCTAAAAAATTTAAATAACTTACCATTGTTAAAGGGCAAAAAAGTTAGGGTAACAACAATGTTATCGTCATTCTCAATTACATTTGCAGATTGAAAGGAACTTAACATGGGTCTACTAATTGACTTACGAAACTCGATGTCATTATAGGCATGACTCTGGAAGAAAAAAATGAAAAATTAAGAAATTATTTATTAAAAAATTAAATTAATTCTCTTGCTAAAAATTTATCAATGCAAGCATTAAAAGTTTACAACAGGGGTGGGTAATTGTTTTGAAGCAAGGGGCCATTTCGTAGAAGCATGGGTTGGGAGAGAGTCATATCTTAAAAAAAAAATTTACCATAAAAATCTGTAAAAATAAATACAATAGTGGCAGTTTAATACAAATTATTTACTCTCCTAATAATAAATAACCATTTTAAATCAATGTTTTTTGTTTTCTTTTGTAGATTTTTGGCACTTAGCTTTGCTATAATGTTGTGAAGAAGCGAAAAATGATTCTGCAAACAGAAATTTCATTTGTAAACAATATATAAAACATAAAAAAATTACAAAAATTTTAAAATTAATAAAAAAAACTATAATTAGTAAACAATCAGCAAAATTGATAAAATTGTGGCAATTACAGTTTTTCTGTGTACTCCCTTAACTACACACCTGTCCAAGGTAAATTTTCTTCACTGACTTGGCAGATCACATAAAAACTGTTAGGCTAATATTTTAACATCCCTGATTTAATATAATATTTTAACTTTATTTTGAATAAATTATAAAGAAAAAAATTAAATGATGATATAAAGCATCATGTAACAATTAATAATATTATTTAGTTATGAGTAAACTACCAAGTTTCAAGAATAGAAAGAAAAAGAAATAAAACATAAATAAAGTTTAAAAAAAATATGATTAAATAATACACTAAATTTACAGCAAACTGTTAAGTTTCAAGGGTATAAAGAAAATTAAAAGAGCATGAAGTCACATTTTAAAACAAGTCTTAGCAATGTAATTAAGTTTATCTTTATAAAAAGTTATGCTATAACGAAGTTATCAGTAAAACATATTGACAAAAGCATAAAATGGTTAATAATAATTTATTTTACCTTTAAATTATTGCATATAAAATCTAACTGCTGATGCCAATATCCTCGCCCAGGACTATGAGGAGGTAATTGCTTAAGGACAGGTGATAAAGGGTTTTTCACTTTTGTTGGAGAAAATTGGACATATTTCTCAATGGAAGCTACAGAACTTTGAACTCCAACACTTTTCTTCTTAATAAGAGGTGTTTCATCAAGTTTAGGCAAATTGATCTGTCAAAGATTAGTTATTTTGAATATTCCATTAGAAAAACAGCCAGACTAGATAAACACAGTTAAAAATTTCTGAATCACATAAAAATAAGTTACATGTTAAGTTACGAAAAAAATAGAAAATTAAATTAAACAATCCCTTTTTTTTCTCACTAATTCATAAAAATTCTGAAATTATGTTTTACAAGTTAATTTTTTTCATAATAAAACCTTGGAAAATTCAATTTAGAAGAAAAAAGTTAAGGTTGGAAAAATGGTTTACCTAATAAAAAAAAAGACATTTTCAACATAAAAATATATTTAATGATTCATCCTTCAAAATAAGGGATTATATTTTATTATTGATACTAATTATAAACTCCCTAAGCTAAAAAATAACTAGGTACTTCTAACTCAATTCTATTACTTGAAAAAAAAATGCATTGATTGAATTTCTCCATGTTTTCAGTGGAGAGTGGCCAGGTTCTTTTCATAGCGAGAAAAAAAAACTAGTTTAGATATATAAGTTTCTTCCAAGCAAAGTGAAAGAAAATGGAAAACTCTTTTTAAAAAAAGAAAGATCAAATAATAAAGCAATTTTTTTTTTAACAGTTTAACATTACAATCTTGATCTGTTTAATTCAGCAATAACTTTTAAGCTGCTTTATTCATTACACCAATGCTATTTAGTTATACCTGATATCAAAAACAAAATCAATATTCAAAATTGACAACAAAAATAATACATTGATATAAAATATTTTGATACCTAAAAATACATTAATATTAAAAACTCATAATAAAAATTAACCAGTTAATAAAATTTATGATTGTATTTACGAGCAAATGGTACAAATAGTAAATGCATTAAACAGAATAAAAATAAACTAAAAAGAAAAAAATATGTGCATAAAAAATACGTTAAAAATAACATAAGTTTGCATGACAATTTATATAAAATTGAAAAGTATTTATTTCCAACCTAATTATTCGTAAAATTTTATTAGGTGTTCCTATTTATTTAGAGCCAAAAAGAGAATAATTTAAATTCCTTTTAAAAACAAATTATTATAGTAAAGGTTTAACATATATTAAAATTGAGTAAAATATTTAAATAATTTTAATTACAGTAGTTTATTTTTTAAAAAATAAATAAATAAAAGTGAATATAGTACATTTTTGTGTTGTATGAAATTTTACTTGTTTAAAATAAAACTCTTCAATCTTATTTTCAATTTCTTCCATTTTGTCCAGTTTCTTCAAGTTCCCTGGATGATATAGATTTCTCCCTGAAGAAATCATAATCCTGAATTTTTAAAGACTGTCTTTTATACTTAATTAGATATATTTACATTATACTGGAAAAAATTTGTGTTCCAAAAACTGTTTCATACTATTTGTAAGTAAAATAAAGAATGCAAATTGGATGGAGTATTTATCATTCAATTCTTACTGAATATGCATTAAGGTAAAATATTACAATAAAAATTCCTTTCTTAATAAATTTCATTTAAAAAAATGGGATAATTTTTATTATTTAAATTTTATTTCATGTAAAAAATGACCTGAAATATTTTTTTTCTCTTTTTTAAATCTGACAGACATAATACAACACTGCTCAAAAGAAAAATTAAGATAATTTTAATTACATAAAAATTTGCTGGTGATGTCTTCCTTGAATATGGATTCTGTTTGCATTTTCAAAAATAAGTTATAGGAGCATAAAAATAAAATTATATAGTTCAATATTCCTCTTTATAATATGGAATTTTTCAAAAAAGATTCTAAATTTCTTACCTTTTAAATCGAAATTACTCATTTATTTTTAGAATACAGTTTTTAACAGATCAATTTACGAATAACTACTGCATTTTTATGAAGATATTCTATGAATACAAACCTAATTTAGAGGAATGTTTTTTCATTTTTTCCATTAAATATTTTTAATTGAATTACCTCTGGTGTTTCATTGCCATCTACATATAACTTATGACCACAATACTGGCAAAACTTTGAAATCATAGGATTATCTTCTTTACAGAGACTGCATATTTTCTTTAATCTTTGCCCACAGTAAATGCAGTGTTTGGCTGACAATGTGTTCCTCTCTTGACAAACAGTGCAAATCTCGGAGTCCTTTTCACATTTTTTACAAGAATATAAACTGCTGTTTAAATCACTGGTTCCAAGCTTTAAAGAAAAAGAAATGTTAATTAAAATAATTTGTTTTAAAATCTATATTGAAGGGCGGTATAGCATTGAAAGAGGCATTAAAAATTTAATTAGATTATTTCAAAAATAACGTTCTCCTGCAACAGCCAGTTGTCAGTTAAAGGGAGTTGTTTCTAATGCCACTTGTCAATACCAGCAAGTCAGTTGGTGAAACAAAACGAATTTAACGCAGATGGCGCATTTCTTGTTTTTCAGTGGTGCAATCTATGGCCAAGAATATGACTACAGCCACACACATGTCACAGCCCGTTTATAAGGTGGACCCATTCATTCATTCACTGATTGCAATTTTGACCTGAAGCAGAGAATGATCAATCGCCAATTCAGTACCCCCTGAGGTATAAAATGTTACGCGAACATAATGGACGTTTTGACCTGACAGATTTAACATGCAAAAGTCACAAATTACTACACGGCCTGCGGGGATCAAACTCACGACCTCTTCGACATGGGCCCGAAGCTTTACCAAACAGGCTATCCGGCCCTGTTAAGGGGAGTAATGGACATTAAAAGGCTTTACTACTTTGAGACAAACAGCAGGACAATGGCAATGTGGTCAGCATTACCCACCAGATGCCATACTTCAAACATCATTAAATGAATGGACCATTTTAATTTGCTACCCGCTAAAACTTTTTTTTTCCAAGAAAGAAATTTAAAATAACTTTACTCTGATCATTAACAGACAACTTTCAGTAGGAAAAATATAAAGACATTCTTTAATTAAAATTACTATTTTAAGCCCTCTGTTGGTCCTGGCATTTTCGGAACACCCGACAAATAGTTCTTTTGCAATTAACTTATTTTTTGTTATTTTTTAATAAATGACATCATCAGAGGTTCATACAGGCAGAAATTGGGGCCACTTGGCAACACCTTTACAAAATTCAAATGTTAAAAAAACGGCCCTAGCACAAAATTAAAATTCTTAAAAACATCCCCTTCACCAAAATTCAAATTTGTAAAAAAGGCCCCTTTACGAACTTTCCCTTAATATAAATGATCACATAAAATTGTTAAAAAGCGAATAATCGGAAAACGACGAAATTTTTCGGCAGGCAACGTCGAGAATCTTACAAGTCAAAACTCAAATATGAAATACCCTTATCGTGATAGTGTATTAAAAATATCAGAGTTTGAAAAATCTAGTGAAAAAGGTCCAACAAAATTATCATCCAACAACAGGAAGTTACGATGGATTCCCTCTCCATGAATCGGGCGTGAAAAGGGCAGAACTGTGAAAAGGCAAAAACCATGTAAAAAAACTTAATAACTTCCAAACAAAAACTGACGTTAAACGACATGAATTTACGATCGAAGCGCATAAAAAATGTCAGAACTTTAAAAAAAATATGAGAAGCTGTAAACTTAATAAATAAATAACCGTGGAAAAAACATTAAACGATGTAAACTAACAATGGAATTGTCAGGAATCGAAAGTATCAAAGATTGATAGCACGAGTTTGAATTTTGCAAGTAGGAACAACGTAATAATTACATCAGAATTCATTTGAAAAACCATGGGGAAGCGGCAGAAAAAACTATGTAAAAAACACATGGATATTTATAAAAAATGTGGAGTAAAAAAAATTATTAGGTACTAAAACAGAGCACTTTTCGGTAAAATTATTTCTCTGCAAAAATAAGTTTTTTCGCAAAAAGATTTTTTTATTATATTTTTTTTTACAAAAATCGGTTGCAAAAAACATCTATCATTTTCTTCAACCCAGATCTTGTTATAAGAATGACAGAAATATCAAATTTTAAAGCACAAAAAAGAGTATTACCAGAATAAGGTCACCTTTATCATTCAATCCACCAGCACCAATTGAAAAATCTGGAACAACATCTTCATTTCCAAGAAAAAATGTTGAATTTTTAATTTCTTTAGAGGAATTTTCTTCTAGTAGAAGAACGTTTTCATTTTCAAATAATGTTTTATCCTCGTCTAAACTTTCACCAATACTGCTTGTATCCTGGGAAGAGTTATGACTGTTATTTAGTAGTTCCTCCTCATCAGATAATTCAATATTTACTCCAAGATTTGAAGAACGCAAGATCCCGTTGGACAAACTTCTAAACGAAAGTTAAGAAACGTTTTATTGATTTAATAAAAATGAGCAAAACGTTGTGAAACATCTGATAGGTATCAAAACAAGAAGAAATTTAAAATAAAAGAAATAAATTAACTTCACCCTTATTAAAAAAAAAAAAAAAAAAAAAAAAAAAAAAACGATTTCACAAAAAAAAATTTCTACAAATATTCTAGACAATCAAACAGAATTAAAAGGAAGAAAATCAGTTTTTTTTAATACAAATTGGATTTTTTACTCAAACCAGATTTTTTGATTTTATTTATATACAAATCAAAATTAAAGTTTTAATTAACTATATTAATAATGCTCAATAATATTTAAAAACAATATTGTAAATGAAATACTTAATATTTCTGTATATTATAATATCCTATAATAAATGTATTTTTATTTGCACGGCATTATTTGTGTTTTTCATGTCATTTTTTAAAAAATTTAATTTTTTTCCTTCTTAATCACTTTTTATGAATTTTGAATATTTTTCATCTTAACATTTTGTTTGTAAATTATTTTTAGATAAATTAATGACAATATTACATTGAATCTTGTTATTTTAAAAGCATTTTGCTTATGAATTAATGCTTGCTTAATTTTGCTTAAGAATATTTTTTTTAAATATAAATTAAAGTAAATATTACATTGAATTTGGTTATTTTAATTGTCTTAAATGACAAGTGGTGATGTTGAATAGAGATTTTCCAGCATATAAAAGTTTGCCTTTAAACAAAAGGTAATTTTTCAACTTGAAGAATATCAAACATTTGGCAATATATTGCAATTATAATGTTTTTGGAGAGTGTCACTAAAAATAATTAATTTCCTTCTTATCTTTATCAGATTGATTTATTACACATGATATTTCATAACTGACATATTTCTTTTGATTATTGCTCTATTTTCAACTAAATATATAAAAACAAGTTATGATTGATATTTCTTTTAATAAAAAGCTTAAAAAAACATGTTTTTTTTTAAAAAAACTTTCCATTTCCAAACCTTTTTTTACAGTTTTTTTGGGCTTTTTGTTAATTTATTTTATATGCATTTTTTTAAAATTTTTATGTTAGCAACATCCTAGCCTTGATTATTATAAAATAGTCGCTAAAAAATAAAATCATAGTTGTTTTTATTCAAGCTCAATATTTTCCTGAAAGACAAATACCATATTTATCAGTTAGATATCAAATGAAGAATTAATTAGTTTTGATCTGGAAATAACAAAATCAATTATTCTAAACCACTCTTGTGAGAAAAAAATTCTCTTTATTACTTTTATACAAAAACTACATGTTTAATAAATTATAAAATATTCATATAAACACAAAACTATTTAAGTTTAGGTTTATTACACCAATTTAAATAGGTATAATGTTAAAATATTTAATGTATGTGTAATGAAATTGAAATATGTTTGTCAAATAGCAAATTATTTTACATACAGATAACGGAAAGTTATAATTTAGAAGTTTCGCATCACTTTAATTTACATTTAATCTTTCCTATTTACTTTTAATTTGCAGCCTATTGTGAACATCAAATATCATTTAAATTAGACTTAAAAAAAAATCAATACAATTATAATATATTTTTAAATTATATCAACAAAAAAATAAAGACCAAAAGAAAAAAATAAATATTTAATTTAAATCAATAAGCTTCTGAAATATTGAGAGACATAATCTTATTTTAAATAATGGAATCCTGTTTAGTAATACTTAACTCCAGGTCATGATATAACAAAATATTTGTAGTCCAGCAAGCTCATATTATGACACAGAAATGCAAAGCTTAACTGAAATTTTGAACATCTAAACAAAGGCTAAACAGAAGATAAGTTATAATGAAAATTAGCAAAACTTTTTAACATTAGATAAGTATTTAATTAAGAAGAAATTTAAAATAAAATAAATAAAACTAGAATACTGCTTTAAAGACAATTCAAAATCATTTAATACTTTTTATTAACTTAGGTATTTTTAAAAAAAAATAATAATAGAATTACTCAACAGAATTTGGTTTAAAAGGTATAATTTGAGTTCAAATTAATTTTACATAACTTTTTTTTATAATTTATTAGGGAAGATTTTGGTAAAAAATCTAAAAATACCAAGAAATCTAAAAATATAGACAAAATATTTTTTAAAAAATAAAAAAATGCTTGAAATTCACAAGAATGTGAATTCAGGAATTTGAATTCATGTAATTTAAAATACATTGCAAGATTTATATTTACACCATGAATAAAAATGTGAGGTTTTAAATTATTGGATGCATAGGTAGAGGTTTGGGGTTTTCGAATTCCCAAAAAAGATTTATTTTTAAATCATAAAAAATAATCTTTTTATGGGAATTCCAAAAAGTGGAACACAACTACAAAATTTTTCTTCTTTTTTTTTTTAAATTAAAAAAATTTATCCTGAATTTATGGACAATTACATTTAAAAGTAATAAAATTAATATAATGTCACTATGATGACCACAACAAAATTAGATCAGATTTGTTTTCAAAAAGTGAATTTTATGTTTAAATTTAAACATAAATTTTATGCATCGCATTATTCTTTACTTATTAATGAAAAGGAACATGAAGCCAAGTTTGCAAACATATAGGAACAATGTCAAATCCTAGTTTACACACATTATCAGCTACCAGTAATTAGTAATACGTAATGGTGTAGAAAATATGACAGCAAAGATTCTTTACGGTATATATATATACGTAAATATGATACTTTGCGATAACAATATACCCAATAAAATAATATTTTGATCACTATTAAAAAACTATAAATATCTGATTTGATATTATTATTACCACATCGAATAGATAAAGTCGCAAATATTAAATTATTGAATACAATATTATTATTAGGGTTGAAAAATTTTACATCAAAATATTGACAAATGTAAAAATATAAATTAGCATCATCAGAAGAATATTACAATAAATATAATATAAACAGCATTTTTAGACCATATGTAGTGATGTTAAAATTTGCACTAATGTTCATGATATCACACTAGAGCCTAATGTTCACGCAAGCAAAAACACTTTTGGACCTATAATTTATATGATTTAAAAAACTTACACCCATATTCTTTTTGTTGAAAATGTTAATAAATGCTTGTATTTTAATAAACCTACATGGGAGATAAGAAAATTTTATTTAATTTTAAAAATGAAATAATCTTGAGAAATACTTTTAATACATTAAAAATAATAACAGTTTCTCTAATTATTTAGAATTTTTAATTTCAGAAGAAGTTGCCACATGTTTTAAAAAATGATCATCATTTAAAAGGCTGACCCTGGGCACTTGTTAACCAAAATTGCCATTTGCATTACATAGAAAATAACCGGAAATTCTTTGGTTAGAGGCCACTAAAATTTGACTCTGACAACCATAAGACGAATGGTCCCACCAACCTGAAATTGATATGTGATATGCCATTTGGAATTTTGGCTCCGTGTTTTGGCCTGTATTTTTTTTCTAAAATAGCATCTTTTATCATAATTGGAACTAAACATTTTCTGAAATGTAATTTTGCATTAAAATTATCTTATAAAATTTATACAAATAAACTCTGTGGCACGACAGACCAAATAGGTCAAAGGCCTACTGTGCCCATCTGTTTCTTGACCTTGGACTGTAGGGTGGGTACAAGAGCAGATGTACCAGTTGAGCAGTCAGCTGAATGCGGAACTCCCAGTGTTAAGTACCCAAGCATGCCTGGCACTCATTTTAACCCACTGAAGGAATGAAAGGCTGAGTCAACCTTACCCAGCCAGAGGATCGAACCCAGGACCTATGGAAGAAGAGAGCGAAGCGCTTCACACATATTTACCGGGCGTCTTATATATATATAATAGAGACATGTGAAGGGTCCCTGTAGCAGAATTTTTTCAGGCTTTCTGCAACATACCTCTCTAATACTAACATATTTCTGCAACATACTTTTAATAATTACAAATTTACATGCTACTAAATTAAAGTAACAGAAACGTCAACTACAAAAAAAAATTTCTTATTCTTATGTTATAGGAAATATTCTCGCATTTTGTAGGGGGGAAACACACTAATTATTTCTTTTTTTGCATTTTGTATATCATCATCACATTAAAAAAATAGAAAAATCATGAAATTCGTAGTGGAAATCAATAGTAATAACTGCATAAAAAATGCAAACAAAAATTTCTACAGAAAAGAAAACCAAATTTTTTACTTTATTATTCTCAAATGAGAAGAGAAAAATCACAGCATTTCTCTCCACTCTGTTGTGCAAGAAAAGCATCTTTTGAATATAATTCTGAAAAAAAATAAAGATCTTTTGAAAATTTCTACCGAAAAAAAATTTACTTCCCAAAAGAAATATCATTCAACAAGAACTCAGCAATGTTCTTCAACAATTTTGCCATGATTCTGCCACAGGGTGAAGGGTCCAGTAAAAATGTGTATGGAGTGGCAATATCTTAAACCACTCTATACACAGCCATAACTAGTACAAAGAATGAATGGTCTTTGAACTAGTAACTAAATTTTCTTAATTTCTACCCCTGTGGTATGAGTATTTTTATAAAAAAGCATATTTCAAAAGTTGAGGAAAGGAAAAAACACTTACTTTTGAGAATTATGGGTATTATCATCACTTATATGATCAGAAACTTCATCTACAATATCATTTGAAGTACTGGGTTCATTCAAACTTGCAGGTTCATTAGCCTTTCCTTTATCTTTATTCTTTTCAAATTTTGTTGAAGAATGTCTTTCTTCTGCTTTCACAACTTTGAAATTTTTTGTTATCACATTGCTAAACATAGAATGCATTTTGGCATGTATAGCTATGGCACGCACAGTTATTTTTCCAGCAGGTAACGAGAAAGGTGCTACATATTTGATCGTCTCATTACCTTGTACAATACCTGCATACGGTTGAGGTTTTGTTCCATCAAGAGTATAAAATATTTCATGATTTATGCAAGTTTCACAAAAAAGCTCAATTTTTGTATTTGTACTAAGACTTTTTGGTGCACCAAATGACGTTAAATCCAGAGGTACAATATGAGGAGTAGGAATAGAAAATGGTGCCATCGCAGGAGCACAACACAATTAATAATGTTTAGAGAAGGTGTCATAAATGTTGGAAAATTGACTGAAAAATTTATAAAAATGGTAACAGTAGTAAGTGGGAAATTTTCGAACTATTATATATATATTTATAACTACTGACTCTTATGTTATAAATATGCATAGTAACAAATCTAACATTAAGTAAGACACAGGTATACAAATTAGTAATAAATTTAACATTACTATACAAAGTATTTCATTTTTAGAACAAAAAAAGAACATTTAAGTTGATAGAATTTTTGTCTTATACAACCAGTGACGATGTTATTAGAAATGTATCTTTGGTTTGAACATAATGAAAAACCTTAGTAAAATTTACTAAGTAATAGGAGAAGCAAATAATAATAAAAAGTACAATAAAAGAATAAAAAACAGGATTTATTTGAAGATTTAATATTTGTAATAAATTAAACTTATAATTAAGTTTTTTAAGACTATGGTGAAATTTAAGAAAAAAAAAGTTTTAACAAATCATAATTTTTTTTTTATTAATTAGGAATAACTAATGATCGCACAGTGATTTTTGAAATACTATTATTATTTAACAATTAAAAACAAAACTTCCATACATCAACAAGTGCATAAAGTATGTTTTTATTTATAGGTATATTTTGCACACTTACAATATTTCATATAGTTATCACTTGGCACTTTCAAACAAAAATAATTTCACAATAGCCAATAATGTATAAAAAAAAAGAGCCTTTTTAACTGTAAAAGGTATTTTTAATAATTCCTTACTAAGGTGTTCTTATACTTATATTCCTAATTAAATACTTATATATAATTCAATTTTCATTCAGTCATGTTTTGTGAATTAGTATAAGAAGCTTAAAAATTATGCTACTTTAACTGATTGAAAAAAAAGTCAAAGATTATAAAAACAAAAACTCAAATTGCTAATTTTATCAAATTTAGAAAATTTAAAACATTTGTTGCGATTAGTATTATTAGTTCATCGGTTCACTAATTAGGATGTTAAATGCAACCAATTTCAGCAATGTAATTTATAATCTTTAATAATAAGCCTTTAAATTTTTATCTTAGCCAATTTTAAGCAGCAAACTCAAACCAATAAAAATTAAATGAGTGATAGTGGAAAATATTTAAAATATAGAATTGTTTATACACATAAATTAAAAGTCGTACGATACTTAGGGCTGTTTATAATATACTTATTAAAGTACTATTTAAAAAAACTCAATTTTCTAAACCACGTTCCACATAATACTTTACGGTGATTAAAATAGTAGTTTACTAAAATATTTGATAATTATAAAAAGTCAAAATGGTAATACTAAACGAACAAAAATAGTCTACAGTCTTAACTATCTTGTTAATATTGGAGCATAATTTTTTTTAAAAATATTATTAGTTTCATAAGATTTTTATAAACAATACTTATACATTTTTTTAACGATGAAATAATAATTATATATTAAGACACTTACTATATACTAATTCTTGTTTATTAAATTTTTTGATATAATTTAAAATTTTTGTTTGCAACAATTAATAGCTGAAACAAAAGTATAGTTTTTTTCAAATAACGCGTTGAACTTTTTAAACTTAGCGTTTTGATACCATTGAAACAATTGATTCTTGATAAGAGTTAAAGAACGAAAACTGATCAGATTTTCCGTTGCCTCGCGCAAGTTGTATATAATTCGAAACGTTATTTTGAGTGTAAGGATACAGTTAAAATCCAAATGCACGTTTTCAAATCTATGGAGTCCTCACATTTCTAGAGTCATTTTCACTGCCTGCTAAACACTAGCGGCAGTGAATTCAAGGGTCCAAATATACTACTACGCATCTGCGAATTAGTCAAATACAATAAGAATGGTTGCTTTCTCTGCACGGCCACAAGGTGTTTTGGAGTATCGCTGGCAGTGAGAACTGCATTCAAATTTTTTTTGCATTCCAACACGAATCTGATTCGCGATGGCAACGCTTGAATACGTCCTCTAGTGGGTAGTATACTGTCAGGCTTTTATTCAAATTTTCATTTAGTTCAATCAGAATCATTGGTAGAATAGGACGCATTTCTAAGAAGAAAATAAGAAGCAAAATTTCCTTAAAGAAAGGGCAGAAGAACTTGAAGAAAAAGGAAAAAAAACGACCCAGAACATTGGTAAATCATTTGGAAACAAAACACGCCCACCATTTGAAGAGCAATTTATCAATAATTTTTACCTTTCCATTATCAACAAACTTGCAACCGATAACTTCCGATTTCATGATAGTGTAGCGATTCCTTTCTGGAAAATCTTTTTTTAGATCAAATCCCCAAACTGTGCTTCTTCAGCCTACCCTGAGTGGCCGGAATTAAGGATTTTTATTTCATTCCAGAAAGTATCCCGCCAGCGATCAGTCGCACGAAGTTGTTAAGTTTCAATAAATTAATGTTGAGTTTTAGATTCGTCATCCTTGCTCTTTTCACATATTGGAGTCCTCACAAGAAGTATGTGATTAGAGGAAAATAATCTAAACATTTCAAAACCTCTAAATTGGTGACCCGGACTATGAAATAATAAAACTTCTGATCCAGAACAATGGATGACGCCGCCGTAGTCATCCCACCCTTCATCCGAGCTGACCCCACCCTTTGGATCTTTATGCTGGAATCGACGCTTCCGTTCGCAGCTTCTATAAGGCAATCACAGAAGCAAAGACAAAATATAATTACATCGTCGCTCATTTGCTACCGGATACGGCGACGATCGTGCGAGACGTGATCATGCAACCGGATGTCACTGATCCCTACATGGACTTGAAATCCAAAATCATGGAAAGAATCTAAAGCAGAGGAGATCCAACGTCTACTGGTCGGTGAAAATCTCGGGGATAGAAAACTAACTGAGCTCTTGCGGGATGAAACGCAGAGGGGAGAATCACAAGATCGAAGACGAACTGTTTTTCGAAGTATTTATCCAAACGATGCCTCTCCCCGTCCAAACAATTATCGCTTCTATTTCCCCCTTGTCAACGGAGAAAGCTGCCGAAGTTGCTGACAGAATTCTAGCGATCTCGATTCCTCACTCCCCACTTCCCTCAGTCCATTCATCCAAGAGTTCAACATCCCTGCGGCATTCTCAACACCCCCCGTTCTCTGTCCTTCTTCATCGGGGGTGGATGAAATTTCTCTCTCCCAGCTGTACAAGGAAATAAAATCAGAAGGAGGTGAACTTTCTTCGAAGCAGGAGCAGGTTTCAGTTTCGAAATGTACTCGAAACTCTTCACGCGCTCAAGGCCTGATTATAGCCTAGGCCCAATAGGCATGGGCCTAGGGCCCACTATTTCTGAGGGGCCTCAAAAATTAGTAAAAACGCTAATTAAAGGTGGGCTAGCTATGTCTTGATTTAAGTACTAAATAAAAAATAATTCAGCTAATCAGTGACTTTTAGCGAAAATCACTGATTTCAATTGTTTGTGGTCACCAAACTGTTTTTTATTCTGACATAACATTGTATTGTTGTTTTATATTTTTCTTTAAATTATAGATACGTAAACTTTTTCTTAGAAAAATAATCTTCAATTGTCCGCTTTTAAAATTTCTTAAAATGTTTTTCTTGAATCATGCAGTTTAATGGATTCTTTTTCATTAATAGGACTACTCTTCAGTAATTTAATTTCAAAATATTTTGTAAGGGGCCCAGAAAATTTGGTGGGCCTTGGGCTTGAATTTGTCTTGATCGGTCCCTGCACGCCCTCGCTCCTCTTCCACTGCTTCTGGAAATAGTGCTACTAAGTTGTATTTTTACCATCGTGAATTCCAGGAAAACGAACATAAATGCGTACCCCCTTGTGATTTTTCAAAAAATCAAGTGGTCAAGGAATAGCGGCGAGTAATTCCTTGCCTTCGAATCAATCTCGCCGCATGTTTATTACGGATAAGAATTCGGGTCAATCATTTTTGATTGATTCCGACAGTGATGCATCTCTAATTATGGCAACCAAAAAAGAAAAACTATATCCTGTAATTCAATCGTTTCGTGCTGCTAATGGCACGTTAATAAACGTTTATGGACGTAAAAATGTAACACTTAATTTGGGTTTGAGGAGATCATTTTCATTTTCTTTTTATATTTGTGATGTGTCCTCTTCAATAATTGGAGCAGATTTTCTACGCAATTTCAATTTAGCTTCTGATCTCCAAAATAAAAAATTAAGTGATACTTAAACAAATTTAAGAGTGCATGCTAAATTATATAATTGTTCTATTTTTTCTGCGAAATCAGTTACTGAAAATAATATATATGGTAAACTATTATTAAAATATCCCAATATTACTAAACTTCCTGATCCTAGTAAACCAGTTAAACATAATACTGCACATTTTATTAACACAAAAGATCCTCCAATTGTAGCTAAACCGAGACAGATAGTGCCGGATCGTCTTAAAAGTTGCAAGCATGAATTTCAATGCATGATAGAATTAGGCCATATGAGACCATCCAAAAGCCAATATGCTTCACCCTTGCATATGGTATCCAAAAAAAGGCACGGTTCAATGGAGACCTGTCGGGGATTATCGTGCTTTTAACGCACAAACAATGAAACGCAGATATCCAATCCCTCATATAACTGATTTCACAGCTGAATTACATGGTAAACGGGTGTATAGCCATATTGATCTTGTCAAAGCGTTTCATCGAATTCCAATTAATCCTGCTGATGAGCACAAAATTGCTATCTGCACACCATTTGGCTTGTACGAAAGTTTACGAATGCAATACGGTCTAACCAATGCATCGTCAACTTTTCAACGCTTTCTTAATGAGGTCATTAGGGACTTACCATTCGTTTACGCATTTACTGATGATTTATTAATTGCATCGGATAATAAGACAGAACATTTGCATCATTTAGACTTATTATTTGCAAAATTAGATGAATATGGACTTTGCATAAATACTCAAAAATGTCAGTATGGTGTATCCACTCTTGAATTCTTAAGATTTAAACTGTCCAGTGCGGGTATCGAACCGCTACCTGATAGAGTAAAATGTATTCTTGATTTTACCCAACCACAAACATTAACCCAATTGCGTCGCTATTTAGGACTATTTAATTTCTAGCACAGATGTATTCCAAAAGCTGCTGATATTCCTGCAACCTTAATTACATTTTTAGAGGATCACAAAAACACATCCTCGTTCCAAAGCTACCGATACGGAGCATTTAAAATGGAATGACGATGCAAATAAATCATTCATATTGCTTTAAAACAAGCTTTGGCTAAAGCAACTCTTCTTAGACACTCTATTCCAGGTGTCCAATTACAAGAGTGGCACCAGACTCAGCCCGACAAGGGGTCAAGTCGACCCCGACAGGGGGGCTCAAACAAATAAATTCAAAATATTTAAATTAAAACGAATGTTATACTTTACATTTTTTTCTCACATCATTTTTTTCAAGTGTGTTTCTGAGAATCTAAAATCACTAATATTGATACCATAATGTGCAGATTCCTTTTAATGTAAATTTAAATCTAATTTTTTTTTTCTGTTATCGATGTATTTTGTAGTGTATGGTGCAATTTAAAAATACATTGTAAGAGTAAAAATTATTTCTGTAATAAAGAAAAATAATAGTAGCAGTAACCGAAATTTCAAAAAATTTCTACACTTCTCACTCTTATAACGCAAAAAGTATTCGTTAATAAAAATTTGAAATTTCATGCACATTTAACAAAACATTTAAAAAACATTTTGATATAAAATGTTATTTTTATATGCATCGATTGGCTTTTGAATCATTTAAATGTTTTGCAAATAAAGTTAAACACATTTTTTGCATCCACGTATTCTATCTAAAGATATCATGCCCCGTTTTGAACGAACTTCGAAATGGTTATGCCCATAAAATTGAAAAATTCAAATTTCTTTTAATTGTTACATAGTATAATTTTACGGACAAATAAAAGGCTATTTTAATCAGGGGACTCGATGTAAATATATATTGTAAATAAATGCAAAGATACTTTTAAAATTTCTCCTTGCGATTCCTTTTTCTTTTCAAAGATGCTTTCAAAGTGAACATCTATGTCCGGCAAAATGCTAATTTCTCCATTTGAGAAAAAGAGTAAATCCATCGGCTTAAAATACAAGATTCAAACAATATAGCTTAAATTTGTAATTATTTTTCAATTTACAAATTTTAAATTTGCCTCCGAGAAACGAATATTAACTACTTACATTTTTAAAAAAAATTGCCACACATGGCTGCTGTTTGTCTGCCTATGTTTTCGTTTCTCTGCAAAGCTGAAAGCACATTTTCTACCAAGATTTCCGTTTCGCCCTGCAAAAGCTTTTTACATATTGACATACGCCTGCAACGAATAACCTTTCACACATTTAATTGATTATTGTTTACCACATGTCAACGCGAAACATTCTTTCCTCTACGATTTAAATTTGCTTTTGATTTCATAGTTACGAATTTTAAGTCACAAAAAACGGACACTAAAAATTAAGAAGTTAGGGGACCAAATTTCGTAATATAAGAGTTTTTTATTTTTATTTCTCAGGACTTATTTGTATTTTGACATTTCAAATTGCAAATGGTGAAAACATTTTGCACCTTACATTTCTTAAGTTTCCGGACTTCCCTTAAATAAAGTAATAATAAATGTTTACTAAAAGTTTCATTTTGCATGAAATTATCTTTAGA